TAACCTAGTATTACTCATTACAATAGGTCCCTTGGTATAGTCTTGACCTATGAAAAAATCTACTATTTGATTTATAACAGCCGCTGCCAAGCTTCGTTAAGTTTCCTATTAACACATATTGTAGAGCTTTTCATGACACATCGAATGATGTATTGCGCTAGGCTTAATATAGTATGGTTACTGAGAAATGTTGATTTTACAGCCATACTGTTGGTGCTAAACTGTTGCTTGCTTTCAAGTAGATTCTGTCGAGTATATTCGACTGAAAGCGTTCGGAAGGGTCGAAATAATCGAATATGATAATTAGATGTGATCCTGATTAGGTTGGGACCGATTAGATGGGTTAGTGGCTGATTACCGTCCTTATGCGGACTTCACCTTTATTGTCTTACCTGTATCGTTCTACGAAAATGCGTGCGTTGTATACGAGACAGTAAAACGGTAAAATATGTCTTCTTATCTAGATAAGAATAATAGTATAATAAAAGTAACGTATAATAAAGTAACTATAAAGTAAAGTATAAAAGTATAATAAAAGTAACGCTTTCGATCTGTGTCGAAATGATCGATGCTTTCCGTTTTAGCTAAAGTTTATTGCGTGAAAACTTTGTCTTAATTCCTTCTATTCATTACGTCCCTATTTTCCAATAACGTGTATTACAAAACCATATTTGACAACGTTATTATATAAATCCAATCGCGCGTTTTTTCTTTTATGTCTAAATAATGTGTTTGAGTTTAATTTGTATAAAACAACATAATGATCAACTCAATAGACTTTGTTTTCGTGGAAGAATTGTGTCATTCGATACTTACAGCAACAGTAAAGAGATGCTCATATTACACAGAGATGTGCATTTCTACAAATTATAGCATTGCATCAATCAAACGGATAGTAGTCGAATCTGCCTTGCCAGACGGATTATGGATTAAAAAACTAATCAATCAAAATCGGAACTACAGCAAAACACTACATTATTCCCGGTTTGTGAATTTCTATTGTGCCAAGAATTGTAGATGCTCGCTATCCATACATCTCATTAACTAATCACATATTACGAACTTATATTCTCAATATCTTTTCTAACCACACAGACATATAATTCTTTCTTTCTGTTCTGAGGATTGACATAACACCCAATGTATAAACGGACGAGCGACTGATTGACATAAAGGTAGTTATTACTTAATAACAGTTTTGTTGTGACAGTAAGCCCAAAAATATAGATTTTCCTACAAGCGGCTAAATAGTTGAACCTTGTGCATAATAAATATCGCTTTCTTCACCGTGCCAAAGTTAATTTGTCGAAAACTGCTTCGTTCAGACTGTGTTTTTTTAAAAGTATTTAACTTATACCACTTTTGATCTTGTAGAGATTGAATTCTTTACAAAAATGGCATGCGGGTTACAATAGCTCGTCCCGTTGAGAAGTATAATCGAGATAAGAAGACACATTTTATCGTTTTACTCCCTCGTACACGACGCACGCATTTTGGCAGAACGATACAGGTAAGACAATAAATTTGTTTTTCAATCCACCACTCGTATTTTTAGAAGAAGTTCTTATAATGACCAGAGTACAACCAGAATTCTTACTGGATGCCAGTCAGCTGCCAGACGCAGCTGTAGTAATTCCGTCCGCTTCATCTCCTCCACCACGCCAGTTGCCAAAACATTTGGCTGATTTCAAATTATATATAGATTCCAAATGTTGCTATCATTCGGCACCGCTAGAAAAAGCTGAATTGGTAAACGTGCAGACAAAAGTTGCGTACAAATGTCATATCAAAATACTTATGGAAGTCAGAAGCGAACACTGGAAAGTAGAACCTGCAACGTGGAATCACGAAACAGTACTCACCAGTACTACTTTGGGTAAGTTTTTCTGAGGTGACACTCCATGAGTAAAAACGGTTCGCTAATCTCAGATTGTACAACTTATATGAATGGTCAAAAGTACGTCTCATCGAAATTTTGTCTTCAAAAGAGCTGAGCGTTAGAATATTCATTTACATCTAGTCCATAGAGAACGTAGATCAGTAATGCTATTAGCACCAAAATCGCGGAGTTATAATATATATCGTTCATAATCACTGTGAGCTTGAGAATAGATAGGTCTTTTGAGTCCGTCAACTAAGGAGCTCCTGGTCTATCCAGATACCCAGGCCCGGATTCATAGATTTAACTTCGAGTCTGAATAGAAAATATTCGGAGTCAATCTATGGATTTTTTCTTCTTGTTTCAATTTCAATTCTTTAATCCAAAGGACGTCATTCCAAAGACATATAGCAGAATAAAGTTGAAACAAAAGGAATATCAAAAGTATATAATCAATGACCAATAATATCTCTGCGTTACTTCTACGTATATTACATGCGTGTGTTAATCTTTCCATTTTATTCTTCATCATAACCAATTGTTGAATTTCGGTTTTTGATAAAATAGAGCTCCTTTCAACTAAGCGGAAACTTGTAATCTATTGAGAAAAGAGCGATGGGAAAATAACAGCCAGAAATACCTTTACATTGACTTTATTCTGAAAGTAAATTAATAAATAGCTAAAATCTTGATACCCTACTTAATCAACTACTCGAAGGGTCCTGGGTGCTAGTAAAACAAACTGGAGTCTGGACATATAAAAACGTAGACCCATAGCTCTCTACCGTTACCGCGTCATTTTGTAGCCTTACGGTATAGCTATTTTGTGGAACTCCCTCACTATCTTCGAAGAAGAGGGAGTAGCAGTTTTACACCCAAAAGCCGCTGTTTTTATGGTAAATTTGACCCCCCCCCTGCTTACACGCTCTTAAAAAGTACCCTTACGCGATCTTAAAATGGCCTTTACGCGATGTGGAAACTTTTACGCGATTGACGATAGTACCATTGCTGAATAATCGCATTAAGCTATCGTGACTTATTAGTCATGCTAAACGGAAGTTAACATCACACAGAAAGAGACGGAGAAGATCGTCATTGAACGCATCACAACTGGAAAAGGTTCGGTCTCAACGAAAAATATATATGCGAATGAAACGTGCATATCAAAATATATCTGACAGTATATTAAACTTTTATGTCAGATTAGAAATAATTTTCTTTTTTAAGACTAGACGTCTCAGTATTGGGAGTTCCACGTTTTAGCACCTTCAGGTGCTACCCTGACAAGGTTTTTCATATAAATTTCATTGCAGCCTACCAAGCCTTTTATCATTTTTATTTGAAACATATGCCAAGATAACTATAGAATGTCATTGAGAGGGCAATTATTCAGCAAGAATTTGATGAATCCATGTGAACCTTTTAGAAGATATTTTTCCATGGGTGACCATTGCTTTTCGAAAGTTTCATCATTAATCACCTTACTAAACAGAAATGGCACACTAATTATCATCAAAAACTTGACACGTCATTGGAGTCTCCATTACTCACACAAGACTTTCCTGTTCTTTAGTCGTGAAGCTCATAGTTATCATGGACGATACGTATTATATCTCCATTCTGATTTGAGAGATTTTTAGCATGTATGGCATCGCTGTTCTCATCCTCTGTGGATAAGTTTTCTAACGTTCAGCTCTTATAGAAACAAAGATCCGAGAGGGAAAGGGATACTTTTGGTCAGTAGCGTGTCATTTGACTTCTTATGTGATTGGGAATGACATTGTTGAATTTTCTTATATTCGAGTCAGTGTGCTTCTGTTATACGTCCCGTTTATGTTGCAGGTCGATGGTTCGAAGATACCAAACGTGATGGTCAACCGATAGGCAATATATATGAAGATTATCGTTTTGACATTCCATTGTCAGACGAGAATTCGAAGAAGGAACGAGCATTGCCTCATTGTAACTATTCCTCCAGATGTGACGACTGTCGAGGAAAAGGCTTAGAGACATGCAGGGCCTCAGGCTGCAACGGAAGTGGAAAGATTTCATGTACTCGATGCAATGGCCGGGGTCGGACAGAAACATCAACACAAATTATTATATGCGGGTGTAGCAATGGCAAGGTGAACTGTCCAGTATGTAGAGGTGGTGGTAAAGTCCACTGCTCCAAATGTAAAGGCTGTGGCGGCTTTTATCATTCGGCTAGTTTGCGAGCTGAGTGGCATACGCGTACGAGCACTTTGTACTGTCAGAATTCATTTCTACCTGAGAAACAAATTTCGGAAGCACAACGTGTCATCGTTTGGAGAAACGAACAGCAGCCATGGTCAAAGGACTCAAACATTAATGACTTTGTTCACTCGCTGCAACAAGACGCCGCACACGAGAATATTCAACTGAAAATGAATCTTTTGAGAGAATATCAGGAGAAACATCTTAATCGGACGTTAGGAGAGAATAATAGAATGCGCAGGTTAATCTGCACAATAGAACGATTGGATTTCGAAGAAGTTCATTACACCCTTGACAAGCAATATGTTAATGGACAAAATTCTGCATTAGGTGAGTTTTTCATGTATCGGCATTTGCTATTACGCTCTTTTCTTTTAGGTAATACGTTCCGTTTCTGCAAATTTCCTGTGAATGGTAAGGGACAAGTGATTTATGAAAACGATTATCCACTCAATTGTTGCGGATGCTTCGGAACGAAATGTGCGTGTCATTCTTACTGTTGCACAATTCTGTGACATACTCTTGCAAATTTATATTTTCGTACTTCGTTGTAATTTGTTGAGATCATTCTTAACAATCAGAGGCTTTGTGAGAAGTACAAACTGAAAAATGAACCTTGACTAAATAAAAAGTTCCGAATTATTTTCTTTTCGGAAAATGTAGTTGACGTACACCATGATCGTTTGAGATTGTTAATGAAGCTTTTGTGTGAAACTTATGTTTTCAATGTATATTTCGTTAGTAAAAATAGTAACATGATCGAAATTTTGTTTCTTTGATCGATTCTTCAGTTTTGTGCAATTGGTGAATCGAGCTCTAGAAAGAACAACAATGAGTAATATAGTAGACAAATATTCAACAATTATTGAACTTGCTGTTTCTCTTATTAATTTTCCTGAGTCATTTGATCATAATGATAACGATGAGCATCAAGTTGATGGTGTTCAGACTGAGAATTGAGCATTCGTGTTAATAGTTGATCAAGCATTTTAAACGATAAACGTTCTTTTAGTACCCGACTCCAATATCGAATCATAACATCATATCTAAAAGTAATATTAGTAATAATTAAAAAAGACATCTCAGACTGAATATCTCTCTTCAATGTATTTGTACAATAGACTGGTTTAGGTAGAATAGAACTACTTGTAACATTAGTAATAACTTGTTGATTAATCAAGCCATGATAAAGAATTTTTCGTAAGATTATTGTTGGTTTAAACTGCATTCATCCCTTCGTTAGTAAAAATAGTAACCTGATCGAAATTTTGTTTCTTTGATCGATTCTTCAGTTTTGTGAACACTTTTTGTACCATAAAATAGTGAAAGTTGTGGTTCTTGATGACGTTATTATTAAAAAAGCACGATGTAATAATTAATTTAGACCAAGGGCCGAATCGAACTGAGTTGCACTCCTCTGAGCTCGGTTCGAGTCAGAGATGCTGTGTTGGTGCGGATACTCGTTGGGTTGGAGCTTCCAACGATTAGCCCTGACACAACCTAGCAGGTTGGACAAACTACTTCTTTAGTCTCAACCCTAACCCATCCATCAAAATTAGGAGGTACATTTTGTCGAGTGATCCATGGACGATCCTTGGGTTAACCTATAAAATTCACTATATTTTGTATATTTTTTGATCAATAAAAAAACAGAAAATGAATTGAAATTACTTCAGGTTGACCATCAGCTTGACGTCCCTCGTATTTATTAAATAAGAGAGAGAAAGAGAAGAGAGAAGGGTCGAACCTGTTATAAGTTTTGTTTCAGTTGTTTTAGTTTTAAGTTTAGTGATTTTGTGAGTTTATGTAAGTTTGTTTATATCACCTAAAACGGTGTTTGGTTTTTGATGTGTTGTGTTTGAAGGTCCTGACAATGTTGGCTTTTCAGCTGAATGGTCAGATCCATTTCCAGCAACGGGTGTTGTTGAGAAGACCTGAGAACAATATTTTTTTGATAAAGAAAAACAGAAAATTCATTGAAAGGAGTAGTATCGATAAGTCGGTTTTTCGTTTCAAAAAATTTTCATAGAATTCTGAACACAATAAGACGTCTCCCGGCTGTCTGAAATGCTTTGTTACCGTAATGTTTTGGTAATTTTAACGCCCGTTGTAGCCGTTCGTAAATCCACTGCAGCTGCGTGAAAAGGCATT